CTTTTTTCGGTGGACAACGTTAATGACATTGACTGTATAAGTAACACCAACACTTAAGGTCTTAGTTAAGCAGTTGTAACCCAATCATAACGAAAAATCTCAAATTTTATAAGACAAATAAATATTCTAAAAGAAAAGTATCGTATTTCATTGATTTCAAAAACTCAGACTGGTTTGCTGGTAATGTAAGTACTAGATTATAGTCTCAGGGTATAACGTTCCTGACTTTTGACTTATCAGGACGATAGCTTTCATCAAAGTTAATAACCTAAGATTTTAAGGCACGCACAGGAATTTAGAGACTATATATTGTCTATTAGTCACCTTGGCGTCTTTGTTGAGCGTCCCGCGGGGCAACGTTTTTTGCTCAATGGGCCCCGTTGTATGTAACGTCAAAGCAGTTCAATTTGGAGGACAAAACAAAAGAATTTCAATCTTTTGAGAATTGAAACCTATTGTTATGTCCTCCAAATAGACCCCCTAGCATGTGACGTCAAAGCAGCTCAATTTGGAGGACAAAACAAAAGAATTTCACCCTCCTGAGAATTGCTTTGCTCTCCAAATTGAGGTGCATTTCGAAGTGACCGAGGGGCCTATTCTCAATAGCATCGCCGCAGAAGATAAATCATTATGGATTGTTAACCCCAGGGCGATGCCTGGACAACTTACGTAGGGAAACACAGGATTATACTAATGAATACTATCACTGATCATACGCGGATTCAAAGGCTACAGCTTCACGCTAGCACGCGCGGAATCACCCTCGCGACGAAATTTGTCAGTTTTGGTGGACGTCAATAAAGGTGTTTTTTTTTTGACATCCCAAAGGCATGTTCCCTTGAAAACTTCGTTTTACGCCGGGTTAATGTCATGGAAACGCTTATTGACGTCCACCAAAAACATATTCTTTCGACGCGATTGGGAAGCAATGGAAGCAAGTGAGTTCCTTATCTACTTGACTATACTGAGGTGCAAAATACGAAGGCATGCCACAGGGGACGTTCTTTGGTCCTTTTGTATATGGTTACATGATAAAAAAGCTGCCTTGAAGATCGCCAGAGGTGCACTCTTTTGCCATATATATTATTTTCCAAGTCTTACTTATTGTCATTAACCATTTTTTCGCCATAGTAATTTTTTATCACCATGGCAACAATTGTATGACCATGGTAACCATTTTATCACCGTGGTAACAATTTTCTTTCCATGTACTGTTGTTTGTTAATGGTAACCAGTTTATCACCATGGTAACAATTGGTCAACTTGGTATGACCATAGGGATCACCATTCTATGACCATGGCAAGCCTTTATCACCATGGTTACAATTGGTCAACTTGGTATGACCATAGGGATCACCATTCTATGACCATGGCAAGCCTTTATCACCATGGTTACAATTTTATCACCATGGTTACAATTTTATTACCATGGTTACAATTTTATCACCATGGTTACAATTTTATCACCATGGTCTTTATCACCTTGGTAACAATTTTATCACCATGGTTACAATTTTATCACCATGGTCTTTATCACCTTGGTAACAATTTTATCACCATGCATGGTAACAAATATCCTTAAAATTCCGACAGGGCAGAAAAACGACAAGCCCCGTTCTTTTACGATTTTTTTTATTTAACTGAGTTTAATACTCCAAATTTTTAAGCGTTTCATTTGTGTCACTACTGCTCGAAACTTGTGACGAAATTTTGTCGAATTAGAGTTAATCTTCTTAGTATTCACGAAAATGTCAGTTTTTCTGCTGATCAAAATATCACCTCTTCCAAAGTACACGGCTTTATATCTCAAATACGCATTCAATAAATTGTGGTCGCATTTGATATTTTGCTATTTGGATCCAATAGAACGTGTTTACAAAATATTGAGCTTAAATGTGTAAAGCTGTCCTTATGGCGAAAGACCAAAAACCGTTTTCTGCCCTGTCGAAAAATCCCAAAGTTATACAAATTTAGAAGCGTTATGCCTTCTTCCTCAAGGATTTCTATGGCAAACCAGTCATGCGTTAATATTTTTGAGGTTTTTGTGTATAGATTCATGAAATAAAATATAAAATTTCAGCTTATTTCGTAAGGGCAAACGCACGCACAATGTCTCGTCAGTGCTATCCCCCGCGCACCGCAGACAGTGTATCAAAAAAGGTACCCTTATGACATAGGGCGTTACAAGATGGCTTCCACCTTCCTGGATTCATGCGGCGTAATCCTATAGAATCCGCCTGCCATTCTACACAAAACTGGCGGGAAACTTTAATGGCATAGCATCTGGCACAGCGGTAGCGTTTGAGCTCTTTTTCGAACCTTGTTAATAGCAATGCCATGATAAATATTATGCAGTTGGCGCACGATGTCAACTTTAGCAAGAGAATAACTCTTGATTAGGATCGCAAGAGGAAGTTATTTGCGATTATTGATATTGATCGTTAACAGTACGATTACCAGCAAAAAGAGTAGCTCTACCGCACCCGTATCAGGTCTATCAATATCTTATTGTATTGGTCAACTAAAAGCTTCACGCTATTCGGTCTTTGACGCAATCTTCTTTTGCAGTATAGGTTAAGTACGATGTTAGCCCTATTTCGGAGCACACCTGATTCAAAAATTTCAAATTTTTTTCGAAACCCTGAAACAACCTCTGGGCTGATCTAAGTCAGGGCATGGCTAACTCACAGATTGAACCCTGAAACAATCTCTGGGATGATCTAAGTCAGGGCACGGCTAACTAACAGATTGAACCCTGCAACATCCTCTGGGCTGATCTAAGTCAGGGCATGGCTAACTCACAGATTGAACCCTGAAACAATCTCTGGGCTGATCTAAGTCAGGGCACGGCTAACTCACAGATTGAACCCTGCAACAACCTCTGGGCTGATCTAAGTCAGGGCATGGTTAACTCACAGATCTAACCCTGAAACAACCTCTGGGCTGATCTAAGTCAGGGCATGGTTAACTCACAGATGTAACCCTCAAACATTCTCTGGGATGATCAAAGTCAGGGAATGGTAAATTTAAGAATACCCCTCAAATCAAGGAAGAGATCTAACAAAGTCTATTCACATGTAATGCCGAGTCCAGGAATCAAATCTGCCGTTACGTACCCCAGAAATAATGCCGAGACGACTGCATTACTGCTACACATTAATTTTCTCTGAAACACTCTATAGTCACACATAGTTAAGAAATTATGTGTCCTAAGAGGCTCAAAATGGTCTGTTTGAGATAGAAGTAGTTTGTATTTCAGATTGAAAGTCAAGCACTCAAATAATCACGTCCAATGCAGTAAACAAAGCCGACTTTTTCAAGAAAAACATTCCTGACTTCTAGTATAAAATATATTTGTTTCTGAATTCACAAAGTCTGCCACAATATGAGATAAAAAATGTAGCCATTATTAAATTTAGTTGGAATATTCTAGGGTTCTACGTTTGTAGAGTGAACTTTGTTATCAAATGCTTTAAGAAAGCATTGATTTAAAAGATGTTTTTAGCAATATCGTTTGCTTGCGGCTCAGATGCTTAAGACACCATCAAACAGCAAGCATTGTTTTTGAGACTCAATTCCTTGTATTTCAAATTTTCTGTATAATATTCTGTACGYAAAAGTTTAACTTTTTCACCGTATTCCTTGGTGCGAAAGATATGCACTTTGGATAGTCATTTTGGCTACAGCGAGAAAAACTAGGTTGTTTCTAGAGTGCGTTTAAATTGATGCTTCTTATATTTGTAAGTTCTAAGTCTTCGAAGAAAAATATCCCGCAATAGATTATGTATATTGTACGGGTATACAAATCGTTTGCGCGAGCTGCACTCAAATCTTTTCTATCAGTCGGTATTTTTTCCATTTAAAAACCTTGGAATAACATATCTTTAATTCTAGCTAAAGAATACAGATAATTTTCTTTCTTAAGCGCCGACAGTTTCAATCAAAGAAAAAAAAGAAAAAAAAAAAAAAAAAAAAAAAAAAAAAAAAAAANAAAAAAAAAAAAAAAAAAAAAAAAAATTAAAAGGCATGGCATGTTTTGGGATTTCTATAGGAAAAAATACGCCCAAAGTAAAAAATATCGACTTTGAAGTCAAAACTATAATCTGAATGGAGCAAAGGGCGTTTTATTCTTGATTTAAAAGCCTGATGGACGTTTTACTCAAGGAAAGACAAATAATAAGATCACTTTTAGTGTTGCTTTATTTTATATTTTCACACTCTTTCTATCTGTAGTTATAATGCAGAGGTATTTCTCGAACGCAAAATGAGCCACACCAGCGCGCATTTGCAAAATATTAATGTACTCGTTGGCATGCTGCGCATTGAAATGGCTTCCACTGTTGTGGTATTAAAATGGCTTCTACTTCTGTGACACTGAAATGGCTTCCTCTGCTTCGGCATTGAAAAGGCTTCCACTGCTGTGGCATTGAAATGGTTTCCCTCACTCGTACGAAAGATTCGCTTCTTTTTACGATATTTCTAAGTTATTTAATGTGATATATCAAAAACGAACTGCAGAATATTGTTTCGTGCGACTGTGAACATTAGCAGTATGGGCGTGGTATATCATTTTAAACGTGTGTTGATTGGCTAAACGCCACCACAACTGATAACGTTTATTATAACTTATTTACATAATAAAGATTTATAACGACCGTTGCTATGACGACAACTGAATCATTTAGAAAAGACCAGCCCCTTGTAAATCCACGATAACACAAACAGAACTAAACATTTTGTGATGAAACGCTAGATTCTCCTATTCGATTAATAAAAACAAACTTAGAAATTTGTAGTGAGAAATTAGAGTTTGGTCGGAAGGTCTTCTGACTGGATTTTCAGCTGGAATCACAGCTGTCGGGAGGAGTTTCATCCCTGGATAATTTCTCGAGAATTTTCTCTATGTGGGCGAGAATCTTAAGCGCAGGCCCGAGCTTGATTCCCAATCTGTTCAACAAATGCTCTTCCTTGAGAAGAATGAGCGATTGTCCATCGATACACTGTTCTTTAAATTCCAAGACGATCTCTGGCGAGCCGGTCAACGACGAAATAAACTCCGCAACCTGGTCAACACTCCAGTGAATAATATCGTCATCCAGGTGTAAGCGCAGTTTAGGAATGAGTCTGTGAGGTCTGATTTGACGCAAAATATCATTATGAGTTTTGGAGCTATATGAGCTTTTTCTCTCTGCGCTTTCAACAGTTAGCGGAGAATGAGCGGGACTTTTGTGAATAACACTAACGTAGTTTGTTCGGTCATGATTCGACTGTTCGTTCTCTTTTCGTGGGGAACTTCTTTCGTCGTCGGAAAACGCCGACGCATTGTTAGTTCGCTCGTTATCAGAATAATCGTTGGAAGAGCGTCGTCTTTTGTGCGAAATACCGTTCTCTTCCGGTGAATTTTGTTTCTTCTCAATTAAATGTCCTTTCCCACCAACTGCAGACATCACTGCAAGATCCTGCATAATAAGTTGGTTCTGGAGCGAAAGCCCCGCGAGGGGGTTCTGCGGTGAGTTACCCGTCCCGGGTGGGGACAGTAACCTATACTGCATCAGATTACGAGACAGCGGTGGAACACCATGGTAACCAGCACCTCGAAATGCATGATGGTAAATATTTGTACCGTGCGGGTTAGTGAATAATAGAGGGTCTGGTACTAGTCGCGGTGAGGTGTGAGTCGGACTGACGATTCCAGGTCCGTTGGTGTACTGAGGGGGGAGGAACTGAGTTGGCGCACCCCCCTGACTCTGCGGCTTTTGTTTAATCTTGGCGGCTCTTATCGCCATTTCTCTTTGAATACCTTCGGTGGCGTCTGCTAGAGTCATGGACGTCACTGCGTCTAGAGTAAAAAACAAGCGGTAAAATAAATGTTCAATCATTTGGAGTTGTGCGTAAAGTACGTATTGAATCGCCAACCCTTGACTTAATGTTTCTGAAGTGCTATTTGTTTGAGTGATAAATTTTGATATAAAACAACATGAAAAAAGGTTGTCTTTTTTGTCGGCTTTTGTTTGCACTGGATACATCCGGGAACTCATTTTCCCTTGCGTCACTAGATAAGAAAGATTCAAGTGTCCTCGCCTATTCTTGACCTTCGCACTTTCGCCCCTATTTGTGTTGAGGACACGTACGCTTGGATAACTCTGTTATCGAGCTAAGACACAGCCAGTAATCAAAACTAGAAATCTTGACATCCCATACCTTGGTTAACTGTTCGAAATGCACTTCTTGCTTTAGCAGCACTGGCTCTTGATTCTTCGGAGTTCAAAGAATCGGCTTTGTTTTCCTGGTTTTCTTCGGGATTGGAATCCTTTAATTCATTTAAATGTACGACACGATGCATGGAAAGTCCAGATCTGTCATAGTGTATAGATTCCCCTGCTGAAGACGATTAAAGACATTATATTATTAGTATATATACACCACAAAATAAAACTGAAAGTGCACAATTTGCTGGAACAAAGTATTAAATAACAAAGGCAACTTATAGTAATGGAAAATTCAACTAAGATTTCCTTTGTGGGGAAAATTCCCACTTGGAAATAAGATTTGCTTAAGGCTTAAAAATGAGCTTACAGCGGACATCAAACAAGACTTCTTTACGCCAAGGTAAATCGTTCCCGAAAAAATCATAGCCATCGTGAAAAAACATGTAGATAGATATTACTCGATCGGAGATTTAAACTACTTGTCCAAGCAAGACACGAAATGCGGTGGATTGAACCTGTCTGATTGCGGGTACATACGTCACATGTTTGAGTTGATGACGACTCTTGCGTAATATATCTTGAGTAATTTAGTCCTCGCGTTTTGAAATAATACAATAATAATAATAATAATAATATTAATAATGATATAGTCTAGAACTATAAAAGTTCCGCTTTATTCTTGTAAAGTATTACCCATACTGAAAGTCTAAATAAACAAAGGTAATAATAAAAAAAA